ACTCCACCGGCAAGTCAAGAAACAACAACAACAACAACAAAAAAAAAAAATAACCAACTTCGAAGAGCGATCTTCTCCAAGTTTTGAAGCAAGAGTGCGTGAAAATCCCACAATCTAAAATTGACGAGATGATTCTCACGATGCCCCAAAGGATCAAGAACTCCACTAAGCGAAAGGAAGATCTACTAGATGTTAATTAAATTATAAATATATCAATTCATGTGAACATGACTGAAACATTTCATTTTTTCTGAAAAGGTGGTGTCTATTTACTTGTGACCACGCTGTGTACTTGTAAAGAAGTAAAATAAAGTTCTGTGTGAATTAGTGAAATGTAAATGTTAAATATTGGTCCTACTTTGAAGGCTTTATCTAGGTCAAAATGTTTTCTAAAATTCTATCTAAATGGTGGATATTGGCAAGTGTAAGTCGATGAAATAACAATCACACTTCAGGAAATGAGTTGTGGCAATCTGTTGTGTTATCATTTAGATTATATAATGTACCTGCTACATCTGGACTCTCCTGGAACATCGTACTCATATACTTAGATTACATAATCACACACACGTGAAGACCTTCGATAATGTATTGATGGATAAAGAAAAATACTGTTTCTGGCGAGAGGGAGTGTCTATAAACTCAACCTTAATCTGTTCAGATTTGTTCAACACCACAGATCTTGCATGAGGTAAAAGGATTATTGGACTATGCTCTTACTATTGCTGTTTTGTAAAATCATTATTTGATATAGCTCAATCTCTACAAACTACTGAAAAAACAAACAAGTTTTGATGGACTGCTGATTGTGAACAGAAATTAAATAAGCTGGAAAATGAACACATTACAACTCCTAAATTACCATATCAAGCTCTTGAATATTGTGATATTTAAATTTGTACTTCCAGATATGACTTATGTGCTCCTACAGTCATAGGTTGCGCGCCTCCTACATACTCTCCACGTCCCCCTTAGAGTACTTATTGAGCTCTTGCTGTTGGAAATAGCTGTCTATCTACAAAGTTGACCTTAGAATATTGACAAATATAAAGATGTGATCAAAATTTTATATTTTCTCACTTTGTTTTATATCTCTTCTTCTTACACAGAAACACATTTCCTGCTGGTTCTTTCCAATCAGGAAATTTATCCAGTCTACTTTGTCTTCTGTATTTCTGTACTCTTGCACTATCAACTTCCTTTTGATCTCCCCAAGCGAGAAAGAATCATTTCTTCCTCAGTATATTCATGTAAACTTTAGGCGAGTTATTTGCAATTTTGGATTTCAAACTAGGTGCACATGTTTTTGTTATCATTGCTAAAATATTAGAACTTGTTTAAAAAATCAATAAATAAAATTATGCAGAGGAGCTAAATTATTTTATACTGGTTGCCTCTTACTCAACATTATGATTATGCAAGGCTTTAGGTCTGATAAAGTTATATCTCTTAAAGAAGAGGTAAAGTATAAGAAGTTCAGTTCAAAACAGGTTGAAAAAATTGACGTGTTAAGTGACTCGTGGTATGGATTTTGTT